TCTCTTTGTCAAAAAATTCATTTTTTTATTCTTTTTTCCCCTTGCGTAATTTCTACAAGAGGGGGGTGACACAATTTAGATTTATGGTTGTAATTGTAGAGATGATCTGCAGGTGTTAATTCTATCGGAAATTCAGGATCTTAATCTCATTCTTTAGGGGAACAATACATCACCTCCATAAATCATATCTAGAGGCTTCAACTAAAGACGAGTGAGTTGGATTAAGGAAATTTGTACTTTGCATGTATTCTCGTGCATGTAATAGTTCTCTATGATTTAATAAATAAACGACACCAACCTGATTGTAGAATTAAAAAAAAAAAAAATTATTATACTTATTAAATCATATACTTTTCAAAAAATATACTCAAATAAAGTTATTTGAATTTATTGTTTATTTTAATACAACTTTTACATATAACTTCATTATAATATTATTTATTATATTATTTTAAAATTTTCAAAAAACTGAAATCAGCTTACTCTCTTTAGATAATTATTATTTTCTAATTATCCAATTAGATTTTATTAAAATAATAAAACAAAAGCTAAACTTGCTTAAACTAGTTTTTTAATATAATAATTCATATTAACAAAAGTAATATTAACAAGTAGTAAAAAACTAAAGAAATGGACTATCAAGTCAAACTAAGAGTTTTTTGAAAATACTATTTTTATTTATATAGATTTTATAGATATTACTATTAAAAATATAAAAAATTAATTAAAATTAGAAATTGTATTATTATATATGGTAAAGATCAATAATACAATCATATATATAGCTTATATTATTGCAACTTCAATTAATTTTTTCTTTTAATTTTTTTTTAATTTTTTTTTTTATTCAATTAAAAAATTCTAAGTAAGTAGATAAAGTGAATTCTTAAATTAAAGGTGATAATATAATCCAAATATTTTTTATTATTAAAAAAGTTTTTTTATAAATATAATATTTAAAAAACTATTTACAAAGATTTTTTATAATTTAAATTACTTAATTCAAATGTTTTTTGAATTATATTCTTTTAAAAAAAAAAATAATTGATTTGCAAATTTTTATATATTAAATAATTTAAGGATCCATCCTTATAAGTAGGTATAATTACTATTTAACTGTATTTAGTATATATAATATTGTTTTAAATTTTTTTTCAATATTAGCTAAATATAGATAAATAAGCAAGTTAACATTTAACTTGTTGTATACTTTATATCCAAGAGATATTATTTCTTTTACAATATATATAGCTTTTCAACATAACACTATAAATAAAGAAATAATGTTTCATTATTGAAAAAAAAAATTCTTAAATTTTTTTATTATATTTAAATTGCAAGATTTCTTTAAACAAGATTACTTAAAATTTAATAAAAATATTTTTTAAAAAAAAGATTTAATACAATATTATGATTTATATAAAGATATTAATCTTATTGCTTTTTTTTATTACCAAATCATTGATTCTTTTAAACAAATAAAAATGGTATTTAATTGTTGCAGCATATTTGCCTAAGAAAATGATTTAAAAAATAACAATTACTTTAATTTATTGTCATTAATAATTTGATTATCCGTATATTTGTTGTTTTTTAAAATTAAAAAATTTTTTTATTTTATAATTTATTGATTAATGTATTTTATAATGGTACAACCTCTTTTACCAATCCTAAATACAGTAACTCTCATAATCTTATCATTCGTAATATGGAAAATCAACAAAAAGCATTGATCCAAGTACTATATTATTATTTATCGAATTAAAAATAAATATAGCATTTGATTTCAATTTTTTTTTTTCGATCCCTCATGAAAATTAATGATATGAATCTGTGCAAATAACTATCCAATTTGTAATCTTCGTTGACTTTTCTTTTTAAAAAAATTGATTTTATTCATTAAAAATTAAATCATGTTATAAAGTGTTGAGATTAGATGTACATGTACAGTAAATAGGTTTACCACAATAAAACGTGGTTTGATGATATGTGAGATCAAAGTACTGTATTTTCTAAATCAAATGTTTCGAATCATGTAAATTAAAATTGATAACGATTTTTTTATGTAGAAAAAAATTACATTTTTGTAACTTTCATTTAATGTGAGAAGATTTATTCCATCACTGAACCAATCAGTCACGATAGATCGATTAGTTGTAACTAGAATATCTTGGATTCGCTATTAACCGAGTTAATTTAATGATTTAATCAATCGAGTCAGTTGACTCGGTTCGACCAAAAGCAACAAACATGACCAAAAGTACTGTATATTACTTACTCCTTTATCGAATTAAGTGACATGTTATGATACAATATGAGTCAGGTATAAGTCCGTTATACAATGTATAATCTATATTTAATATTTTGTGTGAATAAATATTTTCATTGGAACAATTTGTGCATTCATGTATTTTGTCTAGTTAAGTAAATGTGGCACATACATATATATTCTTTAGTTCGGATTACATAGATCACGTGAAATTGTAGGATTTACAAACACTTGTTCTAACAATTAAACAATCAGTTAATATAGGTTTTTGGAAATTGATCATAAGACCCCCCTGCGTCAGAGGATTGTTAGAAAAGAAATAAGAATATTTTTTTTAAAAAAAAAAGTTTTGGGGGGATTACATATATATTTGGATCGAAATGGTTGATCCGAGTTGTAAATCTTTTGACTGATTATTAATGACGCAGAATGGCAATACAGTAGTACATCTATGATTCTAATCGACTAGACATTCTAGGATGATTTTCGTATTGTTGACGCAATACCATCAGAACTCAACCTCGAACCATATATAATAATTTTTGCACATGGCAAAATAATGTGGAGAGTAATTGAATAAGAGAAAATATTTCTCAAGCCGCATGTGAAAATAATGTGAAGTTCGTTATTTTCCAATGTTATCACTATTTATATTATAGATTTATAGCAAACATCAATGGTCACAGGCTTATAATTTCTGATTGCTAAAAGATGTCAACCGGAAAATTCCAGCCGAATGAGAAGTTTTTTATTGCACGAATGATTAATTAAATTAGATTACTACTAGTCGATTTTTTGATTGCTAATAATGATATCGCGAAAATATGCCATTACTCAAAGTAAAAATTGATATGATTATTTACTACTTTTTTGTATGAAAAGATTTTGTACAAGATTGCCCTTTTCCAAAGACAGTAACATACATGAGAAAACTTGATCTATTAAATTCAGTGATTAAATAACAACATCCACCGAGCTGATCATCATCCTCACTTTTTTAAGATGATGCCCTGGTTTTTCGGATTCCATTCTGGTATGGTACCCAAAGTACCACGTGGAAGGAATGGTGAATTCAACATGTACCACCGGGCAGTCCTTCATCATAGTCTCGCTCTCTCAAGGATAATGTCTTTGAAAGGTTCCAGGCGAAGCTTAATATCTTTCATAATCTTTGTCGTAGGTTCCCACTCCTTGTATTGTTTTCTCAATATATTAATCTCATGCACAAGTCCCCGGCTTCTGGTAACATTTTTGTCTTCTAATATCCCACGCATCGCCCATGGGAGATAAGATGGATTGTTTTTATGTTGTGCTTGAAATTTATCAATTTTAATTTCGTGCCTTCCCAAAGGTGCAGTCTCAAAAAGATAACGCACCGCCAGTCTAAAAAGAAAAGAGTAATTATGATCTGAAGTCATGCATAATAAAAGAAAACTTTAAACAAAATGAACAGATGACTTACGTGTAAACATCGATCTCAGTATACAATGATGAATGTCCTTCGCCATATATAGGACCGGCGGCCACCTCACTTAACTGAACTATCAAACCGTGATCAAGTATACCAGCGTTTCGTAATCGTATGCAAAAAACGATTAAATTTGTTAAGAAGTCGTTTTCTTGATATAATGGACCATCAATATAAATTGCACGCATAATTGATGGGTGACTGAGACCTGTAAATAGGCCGGAGTATAGCTATAAAAAGAAAATTAAAGATATATTATCATTAACCTATGGTTCAGTGTCCCGACAAGCTCATAAAAAAGTACATACCGGTACTACTTGGTCATCCAGAGATGCGGCATACACTATTTTAACATCACAATTGATCACAGTTTTGAGTGCCTCGTGATACTTTTTGGAAATCATACTTTCGGGATTCATGAATTCAAACAGTTCCTTGGACGGATCAGATGTTCCAATGTAATAAGTTATGAGATAATTCTTTAACAAGTAAGGAAAAGGTCCATGTGATATCCCAGCCATGGCTAGCATGCATATACGTTGTCTCCTTGGATTCACCAGACGCTCATTGATGAGTCGAGAAAGGAGGATTGTGCTAACGGGTGTCCCTTGAGAATGGGTTGCAACAAATACAACGTCTGCTAAAGATAAAGCTTCACACCATGTTTTATTGTGCATCAAATTTTCGTATAATAATTTCACCCGAGCTTCTATCGTGCCTTCACCCACAAGCGGTATGCAAGTGATCGCATCACTTGGAAGGCTGATGTTATGCTGAGAGAGATATCCCAACACGGCTTTGGCCATCATGTCACAAAATTTTTGCGACGTACCTGTTGGTTCCCCAACCACGGACCTCACAAATTTTGTAGGGTACCATCCATGCACACCAATGATGGCAATACGTTTAACGTCAACGGTGGAACGAGTAATTTCATCGAGCCATTTGGGCAGACCACCTTCGAGAGGTTTGTCTGGCGGAAAGAAATATGAATTTATAATATGAAGAGTTTGTTGGATGGGTGAATTTGGAATTTTACGAGGCTTATTTATCGCAAATTCATCAAACGTTGGCAACACAACGTTGAGAGGCACCGGCTTTAATTTTGGCGAAGATTTTATTACAACCGGTTTTGCTTTCCCTTCATCGAACGTATTCATCGATTTTGGTACTTCGTTTATCACGGGCAATGTATCATCGGGTTTACCGTCGGTGATCATTTTGATGCTCGAATTCTTTTTTATTCTGGCCACGTTCGTTTGAGATGGAGGTCCGTTTGTAAAAAAGTCCAACCACGACTGCTTATTTTTGGAGAGTGATTGGACCAATGGGTTGGCTTCATGCTTGTTTTGAGGATTTGTCGATGATTTCTGTGAATCTTTGGCGGAAGGCGATGGTGTGATGTTTGACGGAGGGAGCGTTGTAGGTAAAGTTGATGATCGTGATAGAGGAGCGTCCGGTTCTGTCGAGGAAGCCTCATCGTCGGTCTTATTGTTCTCACTCCTGTCATTATTCTCCAACAAGTTCAATGTGGATGTTGATGATGACCACGTACCGAACAGTGACCACCGTTTTGTATCCGATGACGTTTTCTTTACCCTCACCGTTGAATATCCGTTCTGTATTGAAGTGGTGGAGCTTTTTATTGGATTTTTCGACTGATCTGGTTCCTCATTTTGTTGTGTGATACTAGAGTCTTTAGTAACTACTTTTATTTGTGAAAGATCTGTGGTTGATTTGTTGTCTATTACCGTATTAGTGTTGATGGTAGTTTTAGTAGTGTCGAATTTTTCGGATGATCGACTATTGTTATTATTGTTTCCGAATAGCCACCAGGAAGATGATGATCTTGGATCGGAAGCTTTATTAACAACAGTATGCTCCTCTGAATTCTCTATGATGGTTGCGGTTTCCGACGGCTTTTTGTGCTCCTTTTCTGCGGAATCTATGGGATTTATTTCTACTGATTGGTGAGATTTTTTATTTTCACTATGAGTCTCACTTATCGAAGAGGAAATGTCAACAGAAGAACTATTACTATCTTTGTCGCTATCATAAGTTGAGGCATCATCATGATACTTATGTTTCTCTTCAGGGCTACTACTGTTCATGTGTGAGCGGCCACTCGATGAGGAAGACCACCAACTCCATGAGGAAGTTTTACTTCTTTGTTCGACACGACCACGCTTGTAACCGCTATTTTGGTTTTGTGGTATTGGTATTGTGTTAGGAGCATCTTTATCCTGTATTTTTCTTGAGCAAGCCTCAGAAGTATTAGATGCTTCACTCACTGGACTTGATTTTTCTTTTGCGCTGTTTTTTGAAGACTCCGTTGGATTGCTTTTAGGAGCAACGAGGAAGTCATATTCATTGTAGGTTGTTGAGCTCCACCACGAAGAACGAGACATCATATTCCTGGTAAGAGGTCGAAGAAAGTTGATTGAGATTGCGGCTTTTTTTTTGTTGGGGAAAAGGTGGTTCAAATATGATTATTAAGGTTTTATACTAGTTATTTATACACCTTCATTCATTCTAGTTTTATAGTAATTTTTTATACATAATAATGATGTAATATGAATACGCAGAAATCACATCGGAGAAGTGTGATCACGTTTAGGTCATCCACTGCCGTACACATTTGATGTGAAATTTTGTGACAGATAATATTTCAAATTGTTTGACCTTCTTGGGGCACTCGTATGATAAATCATTGGCCAAAATCCAAAACAAGTAAATTTCTTTGGGGTAAGAATTTTTTTTGGGGGAGTCGAAATCATGTGAGCGAGTTCTGATGATTGACCATTATGTTCCATATGCACTAATTATTGGACTGAGGGTAATAATAAAAACGGTTATATAGATACACTTTGTTCTTTATATATGAACGTATGCATAGAAAAAGACCATTGGTGATTATTCCCCAAGGAAATTCGGAATTGCATTGCTAGTGCGTAATTTGAGCTAATTTGAATTCCTCGCAGTATGTATCTCCGCAGTTCGTTATTTGTTGTTTCCAGAGCTACACAAGAATGCGAAGTATGGAATTTTCAATCGGGACCAACACACCGCCTTTTTAAAAAAAAATCCATCGTCCAATGACATCGAGAGACAAAAACACTAAGTTAAATCCATGGCTTTTGTGGATGACTACGATCATGACGAAAGGAGAATTTTCAACTGGTGGCTATCAAGAACTTCCCACATTAATGGCTTTTTGTATGACTTCCAAACTAATCTGCACACATCTATTTGTTATTGCTGTTGTGGACCCTGAATTATTAAATTACTCGTTTTGATTGATATCCACGTGGTTATTTCAACATAATTGTGTATGCGAATATACATCAGAAGTTTATTCGGGGAGCCGTTAGACCTTTTTTTTTAGTCTTGTACGTAATCGTGGTCTAATATCGATTCGATTACCATTTTGCTCGACCAGAATGGAATAATTAACAATGATTAATCAATCGTCAAATCACCGAGGAGTTCACGCACAGCATGACGGAATCTGAAGCAAATTGCGTGAGTTATTTCAAACTCATTTGAAAATGACGAAACCGTTATTTTTTTTTTTTTTATTATCATATACAATATTTCAATCTGTATATGATATAGACAATCTAAGTATAGAATGTACAATCCCCCATTTTTACAAATTTCAACCGGAATGTGTTAATCACATTTACGTCTAGCCTCATTCCCACGCAATCCCGAGCAGACGCAAATTGGTATGTAGATCGCACATCGTGGTTTTTGAAAAAATCAATCATTATCATCGCTCGTGACACCTGGTGCGATTGAGAATAAAAGCGGCATTATTAAAAAAATTACAAAGAAAACCGTTTTTGTTATGCTATTATTATTATCGTTAGCTTCATGTAATTTGTAACAAAGAAATTTTTAGAAAGATTGATTTCCATTTTTAAAACATAATAAATCATTAATTATGCATCCTAATGGATAACTATTATTTTGTTTAAAATTAAATCTTAAATGCAACGTACACTCTTGTACCACGACGGAATTCATTCATTCCAAAAACAAATACTTATAATTAATTTAAATATGTTAATGATAGTTACAGTGCTTAACAATACTTGAAAAAAATTTTTTAATTAAATTATAAATTATAAATTATAAAAATAAAAGAATGGACAAACTTACAAAAAAAAATACTTATAGCAGATTCTTTTAAAAAATATATATATTTTTTAATAAAAATTTCTTGAAGTTTTTTTATAATTTTATATATTTTTGAAAATAAAAAAATTTTTTTAGTCATAATACAAATTCAAATTTTTACAAATAAACTACAAAAAAAACAATAATAATTATTATCATTTTTTATATAAATTACAATATTATATTAAAAACTATTTGTTTAAAATCAATATTTAAAAAGTTTGTTAAGGATAAATAAATAATTTTTTAGTTTAAATTTTTTTTTATAAATATTTAAAAATTTTTTCTTATAATATAAAATTAAATACTACTATAATATAATTTTATTTTTAAATAAATTTATTTATAAAACTTACAAAGCTAAAAAATATAATTCACAAATTATTGATTAATTGATTAATAGGCTCTTAATAATATTACTTTAATATTATTTTAATATTAATTCAATACTTAAATTTATTATACTATATATCTATATTATTTTGATACTAATTTAATATTAGTTCAATATTTTCTAAAGTCTTAATTAATTATATAAAAAATATTATTACTTTTTTTATATATAAAATTATATATATATTTATAATTAATAAGATACAATATAATATTTATCTATTTAAACAATTTTTTATTTAATAAATAAATTTAAATTTTTATTAAAATTATAATATATATTGTATATATAATTGAATTTAATTTTATTATTTCTTAAATTGTAATATAAGCAAATTTGCCTATATACTTAAAATTTTAATAAAAAATATTTTATTTTAGAAAAGATTTATATATAACAAAATTTTAAAAAATCTATAATTATGAAAAAAAATCTATAATAATAATATTATATAATAATTCTATTATTATTGCTTTAGAAAAACAAAATAAAAATTGTATTAATTTAAACTTATAATAAATAAAGTATTTCTATTAAATAAAACAAAATAAAAACAAAATATTTAAAGAATTATTAAAAAAAATAAAAATAAAATAAAATTTAAAATTTGATATATTAAAACTCTTAATTTTTTTGTGATAAACTTTAAAATTACTGATAAAAATAATTTTTAATTTTTAATAATTTAATCTATTTAATATATATTCTATTTCAATTATTAAATAAATTAATTTAAATAATTAAATATTATTATTTTAATTAAAGTTTATAACTATACTTTAATATTGAAATAAAAATATAAAAATATAATCAAGTCTCATTATATTGAACTTTGTTATACCAAAGGACTAAATAAAAATTTGTTATATTAAAA